GATCAGAAACTGAAATGCTATCAAATTAGTGGTATTTAACTGTGAATTTTGTCCTCTAGTTTTTGTGTTTTACAGGTGCAGTCACAGCAGAGAATAATCAAGACCTCCATGTCTGTGGCTACAGAACCTAAAAGGGGAACCTCCAGGAAATGAAATGTGCAAGGTAGTTTGTGATAAGACTTTCACACTTCACAATAATAGTTAAACCACATTAAATAATTAAATAGCACTAGGTTTGTGATGCAACTGCTCATGATTGGAGCTGGTACAAATCATTGTATTAAAGATTTTCAAAACTGAGTTAACTAGTTTTGGTCTGAACTCAGGCCACCTGCGAGTTATGAAATGTGACACAAATGTGAGAAGCATGCCAAGGTTTTGATAGCTGAGTTGACATTGAAGCCACTCATTGCAGATGATGGAATACATCAGATGGCTAAACTCAACCAGGTAGACTTCTTCATATAATAAGAAGATCAACACTTGTCAAAGGATTTCAAAAGATTTCAAGCCCAGAATATTGTATCGTAATCAAAACTAGTTAGTAACCAAAAACACCAGGCCTCATGATCTTAACCTATTGCTAGGCTTTGGCCATCCTGCTGCTCTCTGTAACTAAAATATACATATATTTCCTGTGCTTTCTTCTGTTATGATATCTATGAGCAGGAGATTCATGGATATAAGCCTGGACCTTGACAGATCAGTAAAGTATCCTTCTAGGTATGTACAGGTGGGTCATATTGTGTGAACGTGAGGTCCACATCACTCCCTGCCTCCTTTGGCACTGTTACCCCACTCTACTTCCCAGCCACCATGAAGTGAGGTGCATTATTCCTCCAAGCCCTTCTGCCATGATGTTCCTGTTTTACAGCCAGCCACCCAGAAACTGAACCCTCTGAAACCGCAGGCCAAGGTAAATGTGTCATTGTTTAAGTACTGCATGTCAGGTGTTTTTGTCCCAGGAAAGGGAAATTTGACTAATACAATCCCACTTCTACCTGAGTGCCCCCTCCTAAATCTCCCTGTCAGACCATATGCTAGCCCAACTTCCACTCACCTTGCCACCACCATCCTGGAACTTGCACAGAGGATGTATGTTGTTCTGCATGAACATGCTAGAAACTAGCATCAAATGACATTACAAATGTTTAAAACTCCATATGGATGAGCCTTTGCCTTGACATTAATACCTGTATAGAGATGATTAACCATAATCTTACTTGGTTCCAGAGCTGTAATACATCTTTTTCATCTTCGCCAATTACCACTGAGACTGTTCTCAACAGGTCCAAGGTGGCCTGGGTTGGAAGCTGAAGATGCAGGTGGATACAATTCTGCCCCTTTCTAAGAAGTGAGGACCATTTTCTCTGCGAAAAATTCTCTTCGACTTTGTAGGAGTTTTGTACCTTGTAGGATCAGCATTAGTGAGGGCAGAACAGATCTCCAGGCAGGTACCACATGCCGGGGTTACTGGTAATTACACTTTGGAACTCTGGACCTGGTCCCAGTGTTTCAAAGGGAAGCCACAGGTCCTTTTGCATGGGAAAATAGGCCACTAACACCACAGCATTCCAGAGGAGAAGTAGCCTCCAGGACCACAGATCATCATACAGCCACTCACATCTCTCCCTTCCACCATGATGTCTAGAAGGAATCGGAGATGCCCTGCCATTAGTTGCCTTGTGATACATGCTCGGTGGACTATTACTACAAAATAAAAAGAATGCAATCTGGTCATTTGAAGCAACATGAATAACTGGACACTAAGTGAAATAACTCAAGCACAAATACTATGTGTTGTCATTGTATGTGGAAGTTAGCAGTGGCTCTTCTAGAAGTACAAGGAAGAACAGTGTTACCCAAGGCTAGGAAGGGTGTGGAGGAGGGAAGTAGATGGAAAAATGAAGGTTAATGTGTACACAGGTGCAGTTGGATACAAGGAATAATGTCCAAAAATCTATAGTTCAGTAGGGCCACTGTCATGGACAATCAACTGTGTATTTCTTTTATTTTCACCCACCGGGGATCGAATTCACAACCTCATGCTTGCCAGGCAGGCACTTACACTGCTGAGCTAAATCACCAGGCCCCCATCAGCTGACAGGATTGTGGACATTCCCAGCACAGGGAAATGATAAATGTTTGAGGTGATATATATCCAACATACACTGGCTTGAGCATAATAAGTTGTATACATGTATTGAAATATCCCACTGTGCCCCTTAAAGATGCAGTTATCACATGTGAATTAAATATTAGAAGCAAAGGAGTCAAGCAGGCAGGAGAAGTTACAGAACTGTCTTGGCTTCCCTTGTTTCCCAAAAGGGAGAAATTATGTGTGTCCTTTTTCCAAGGAGATGGGGGCAGGTAGCAAAAAATATTCTGCCAACAATATCCAGTGATGAGCACATGCTCTTCGTACAGGGTAAATTATCCCATTCAACTCTGTGAATCTGTCCAATGAATTCATGTTGATGGAAATTAAATATGAGTCAAATGAAACTGGTCACCGTGGTAGTAGAAAGAGAAAGATGGGTTCTGCTATGTCTTTCCTGTAAACCTGACAAAAGCCAAGGACTGGACCTCATTCCTTCTTCAAAGGAAATGCATGCTTTGCATTTCCAGACTTGAACCTCACACACAGAGCTCTTTCTATGCTCTGACCTCGCAAAATTTCCTCAAGCAGGAAATTTCAGCCTGCATTTTTATGTCAAGGCAGCAATGTTCACATTAAGATTTTAGAAACTCCTTTGGGAACGTAACTGATATGATGACATTGATAAATTTTGGCAGAGAATGACCTGGACATCAGGGAGCCGATGTCACTCCCGAGGATAGGAAGACAAACACAGAACAGGGCCACACTTCTGATCTGACAATTGCCCAGTTAGCTGCCCTGAGAGACCAGTCCTCCCCTGGTTTCTGCCCTAGCTCCTTCCACTCCTAATGAGCTTTGGGAGCTGTGCTCTCAGCTGGAGACATACTCCTCACGACCAAATACTTGTAGGGAACTCACTGAGGTCTTAGCCTCACATGGTGGGAGACTCAGTGCTGATGAAATGGGACAGGAACATTTCTGCCCAAGGAGAGGGAAGGACATGGAGAGGGAAGAACACGATGGAGGAGCTCTTTTGACAGTCGACACCTTGAGCAGGTGGATCAGGATGGGTGAGGGTTTCCGCAAGCAACCGTTGACCCACACCTCCCAGGCTCTGACCTTGGGGCACCTGTAGAGCAGAACAGCGGTGTGGTATGTCACTCTGGGCTTTTGTACAGTGGGGGTGGTGTTGGCCTCTTTTTGGAACCTACATGTTGCTAGGTTATGCTACAGCCCAGAGTTGAGGTGGTGGAAAGGAGCTGTTTTGTCGTTGCTCTTTTCTGGGGGTTTATAGTCAGGGATGCCCTCTAATCAACATTCTGAGGTGACCTGAGCAGTCTTGGAGCTGAGTGACAATTTCCTTATGTTCCTTGTGACCAAATGGCATTCTGTGCATAGAAACCTTTGGACAGAGCCTGGGTGCTCAGTACAGAGATTCATGTCAGTTGCTCTGGGACAGCGAGCTCTGAATGCAAGCTTCTTTTTCTCCTTTTCTTCCCAGCCAAAACAAGCTCAGGCTTCTTCAGAAGAGCACAGCTGCAGAGCAGGGGACCCATGTGATCCTGCCCTTAGAACACTGACAACCCAATGGCCTTCCTGCTGTCACCAAGTTAAAGTAAGTGTCACCCAGGCTCAACAGGCCCTGAAGCTCAAAATAAGCAGCACAGTTGGAGAACCCTACCCAGGCAAGCTGAGCAAGAGACTCTCCACCCACATTGCCAGCCATTGGCACAGTGCTGAGATGAGACAGCGACACCTTCTCCTAAGAGTAGGAGTCTACGGAGAGGACAGATAGAAGAGAGGTTCAGTGACCATGGCATGAAAAGAGGGCAGGGTGCCAGGTTCCTGCAATGCCTTTGCCAAATGCCTACGCCTGTGCAAACTGTCACTCCCCATCCCAGAGCGGGCCTTACTAGGAATTCCAAGTAGATCTCACAGCCACATCATATGTCATATCAACGAGTAACACAAAGTTTCCAGCCACCTTGGCTGCTTCTTAACACAGTTGGGCTAAAGTAGATCCTCAAGAAGACCCAAATATCTCTGAGGTTCACATCAACTACATGACGAAGGCTGGCAAAAGTCGGAGGCATGCAGCATAGCTCCTGTGGAAGTGTGTGACATTGTCCCCACAGTGGGAAATACTTTCCAGGTCATTTGTGAACAGTAGGGCTTTAGATTCAGGATAAGCATGGCTCAAATCACAGCTCTTTGTGTTCTTGTTCTATGGCCTAAGTGGTCTGGACTCTCTGAGCCTCTAGTTCTCTTTCTGTAGAAGAAGCAGTGGGGGCAAGCTACACAAGCAGTAGAAATACAAAAGTGGGTGAGCAAAGCATTCACTCAGTGTGAGTAAAGGCTTCAACACATGAGGATGATGATGATGTGATTATGATTTGGGCAAAAGAAATTTTTTGCAGCAAATTCTCCTAATCGTGATGTTACATTTGTTTTATTAATACATGACTTTATAGAACACAAAGAAATGTTTTGTAATTAGGCAAATATCAATAAGACTAACTACAGAACAGACTAGAAAACAAACATTGTGCTCATGATGATCTTACAAATCCACACTGATGAGTGCACAGGTAATACTACCTGACGTTGGACGTCAGGCTTTCTCTTTAATTCTCACCAAAGCTAAGCATGCAGGTACTCTCATCCTCTTCACTTTACAGGAGGTGCTGTGGAGTTCACAGAGCGTCACCATGTTTCCAGTGACAGCCCCACTATTGGGAGTGTGCTGGAGTGGGGCTGACATCCTCTGACCCCAGCCCTGTCGGCAAGGTTGTTCTGCGCAGCCTTCTTGTCAGGCCACGAGATGACTTGATCTGTGCTCCCCACAAACGGCCTGCTGTCTGTGCTCTCTTTCTTATAGGTTGAGACGGGTGGGAAGGAGATTCCTGTGCAAATGGAGAATAGCACAACTGTCTGGGAGTTCACCCTGGAGGGCTTCCCAGCAGTCCAGCACCTGGGGAAGGTCCTCTTCGCAGTGCACCTGCTGGCCTACCTGGCCTCCATGGCAGGGAATGCTCTCATCATCACCATCACCTGTGTTGCTCTTCGCCTCCAGACGCCCATGTACTTCCTCCTCAGCACCTTCTCCTTTCTTGAGTGCTGCTTCACTAGTGCTGTCATTCCCAAGTTGCTGGCCATCTTCCTTTCAGGCAGGCAAAGGATTTCCTTTGCAGCCTGTCTCATACAAGCCTTTGTCTTTGTCTCTGTGGGAGCCACAGGCTTCTTCCTCATCGCGGTGATGTCAGTGGACCGCTACATGGCCATCTGCATGCCTCTGCGCTACCCCACCATCATGAACCTCAGGACCTGCTCCCTCCTCATCACCGCCTCCCTTGCAGTGGGCTTTGCACTCATCACAGGGTTCATAGTGAAGGTTTCCCGGTTGTCCTTCTGTGGCCCCAATGTCATCCCTCACTTCTTCTGTGACCTCGGCTCTCTCATCCATCTCTCTTGTTCAAACACCAGATCTACTGAAATGCTGGCCTTTGGCTTAGCTCTGCTCATCCTGGTTGCATCCCTCCTGGTAACCATCATCGCCTACAGCAACATAGTGGTGACAATCCTGCGACTGCCTTCAGCCCATGAGCGGAAGAAAGCCTTCTCCACCTGTTCCTCTCACCTCATTGTCCTCTCTCTGATGTACAGCAGCTGCATTTTCATCTATGTGAAGCCAAAGCAAACCAGCAGGCTGGACTCCAACCGAGAGGCTGCTCTGGTAAACACGGTGGTGACCCCACTGCTGAACCCCGTCATCTACACCCTACGCAACAAGCAGGTGCACCAGGCACTGAGAGAGACAATGTGCAGAATGAAAATGTCAACATAATAAATGACACGGCATTGGAGTTGAGGTGTCACAAAGCCATTTGTCCCCATTTTAATAAATGCCCAAATCATATCACTGCAAGCAATCTGAGCAGCGCTCCCTTGGCCTCCAGGTCATATCCCGGGAAAATGGCAATGTCTTCTTTCCTGTGGCTACACTGCACTCTGTGTGACTATCTGCCTTCTCCTTCAACACTACACACTTGACTCCAGATTTCAATTGCAAAATCCTTGGGTAAGTGTTTATTCATCCATTTGATATAAATTTTGTGGAATTGCTTAACTATATTTACATTTCTTTCCGTTTCACTTTGCTCTAGCCATAGACATAGGTCCATGGAAGTACGAACTATGCATGCCAGATGCTACCCAAATAACTCTGAAGCTACAAGTTGCATTGTGGCTTGGGGCTACCCTCATGCCCCGGGGAACAGTGGTTGTGGCATCTGGACATACAAATTACATCACACGTGTTCTGTGTTGCAGCTAAGTCACTTAGCTTGCTACAGTTATGTGCCTGACATCCATGCTGCAAAGGACCAAAGCTCTCTGGGGCCCTTACCAACCTTCCAAGGAGAGGACATGACCATTGCCTCTGAAATCTGAGCAATACTCTTATATATTCAAATCCTGTCTTTCCCTTGGAGCCTTCCAAAGCATGCACCCTTAGCATCAGTTCCTTTCCTAAATCTGTTACTACTGAACGTGTGAGTGCAACTGGGAAGAGCAGGGTTTATTCCCACTTCTAAGGAGCAGAGATGATAGAGTCTAAGTTATTCTCTTACCCACTGTATTGCTAATAAAAATAAGTTAAGCAAAGTAAGCATTTTTCATGGTGGAGGTATGTTGTGAACTACTCAGTTATTTCCCCTGAAACCAACATTTAAATTAGCCTTCCTCTACATGTACATTAATAACTCATTAAATGAAAGAGAAATTAGGGTGACACTTCTCTGTACAATAGCATGTAATAAAATGAAATATCTAGGAATCAGTCTAACCAAGATTGTTAAAGAACTCTGCATTGAAAATTGCAGTACTCTGAAAAAGGACCTTGAGGAAAATATCAGAAAATGGATGATATTATTTGTTCTTGGAAAGGAAGAACCAATAGTGTGATAAAGGCTATATTTCCACTGTTGTTAAATAGATTTAATGCAATTCCATTCAGAATTCCACAGCATATCTCACATAATTAGAGAAAACAATCCTAAAATTCATCAGGTAGTAGAACAGAAAAGGCAGTTTTGGGAAACAATGGAAAGTCAGGGGCATCACAATCCCATACTGAAATTATGCTATAGAGTTACTTTGATAAAACAACACAATTTAAGCAAATTAGTCATTTTTGCTGGTGGATTTATGTTGTCAACTATTAAGTTATCTTCCTTACACTAACATTATATTATTCAGTCCTTAACCTTTGTGTTCTTTGAGTCCTGTTTCTATTTTATATCCATAGGAAATGCCTTTAAAAAGATTGCCACTAGTTTTATATTGTTTTCTTATTAACGCAATCACAAAATTTTATAAAATGCTCTCTGCATCATGATTGTATCATACCAGGGCTTGAGCATCATATTACAAAGTTCAGATTTCAACTTATTGACAAGGAAAATGTAACCAAGGTGTCTAAAGGTCAGGTATGTGTCATGATTGGATTTCCAGTACCTGGCTGTGACATTGTATGAAGATCTTCTCAAGGTCAAGGAGGAAATGGGCAAAGAGATTGCTTCTCAGATTGTGTGTGTGTGTGTGTGTGAGAGAGAGAGAGAGAGAGAGAGAGAGAGAGAGAGAGAGAGAGACAGACAGACCGACAGAGACAGAGACAGACAGAGAGACAGAGATGACTACTGGAACAAATGACCATGGTAATTGGATACAAAGGAATCAATGGTGGAGACTGCATCAGTTTGCCCTGGACAAGTACTGAGTTCTAAGCCTGGTCCTGTCACCAACTAATCAGTCAACTTCCAAAGCACTTAACTCAGCTGATCTGTAATACGTGGTGAAGATTTAGAATCAAGCTGTTCCCATCATCAGGAAAAAATGTGATAGATAGATAGATAGATAGATGATAGATAGATAAATTGATAGATAGATAATACGTAGGCAGATGATTGACAGACAGATCACTCCAACATTGAAAGTGGTGAAATATTAGTCACATGAAACAATATGGTTGCACCTCGAGAACATGATATGAAGCATAATAAGTCCAATGAAGAGGGACAGGTGCCACATGGTCTCTCTCATATGTAATTTCCTAAAGCTTTGACCTCACGGAAGTGGAGAGCGCAATCATGATTAGCAGAGGCAAGAGAAGGCAGGGGGCACAATAGGTCCACAATAGGACCACAATCTGGTCAACAGATACAAAGCCACAGTAGACAACAGATCCAAATCTTACTGCAAATAGAATGTATTCTGTGTTTTGAAAAAGCTAGAAGTAAAAACTCTATTTCACCATAAAGAAACTAAATTTGGGAGATGAATGTGCCAGTCACCTTCATTTTACCATATAACATGCAGGTATCCACGCATCACACCATGCTTCATAAATACGTACAGGTATCAGGTGTTAAAAATAAAATATAACACACAGACAAAAAAATGTAGAAACTCATTGCTTAAAAACTGAATGTATAACCCCGTGGTTTTGGATATACCCACAAAGTTGGGCAACAATCCCCACTATCTCCAGAATATTTTAATCAACCAGAACAGAGAGCTGAAACCCATGGACAGTCCTGCCTTATTGTCCCCTTTTTGCAGCCCCTGACAGCCACTAACCATTTCCTGTCATCACCGGTTTGCTTCGTCTGGATATTTCACATAAACATCTTCATACAATATATGGCCTTTTGTACTTGGCTACATTTGCTAAAATAAAAATTTTAAAGCTCACCCTCACCACCACTCACTTCTGTGTACCATCTCATTTTTCCTTCAGTGGTATGTTTTATTCATTGTCTTTTTACTCAGAGCATCTACATGGTGGTGCAACTTCCAACATATATTAAGTGGTTAATAAAATTTGTTGCTTATGAAATTATTCGGTAACTTTTATGCAGGTGAGAATCTCCAGAATCATACTTAACCATTTTAAGTGTTTGTGTGTGTGTGTGTGTGTATGTATATATATATATATATATATATATATATATATATATATATATATCAGTGCCATTTAGCACATTAGGTGATGTGCAGCCGCCTATCTCTGCTTGCCAGAATATTTTTTCACTCCAGTACACTCTGCATTCGCTAAGTAACCCGTACAAGTTTTTTTTTCTTCCATGTGCTACCAACCGCTCATCAGTTTTCTGTCTATGGATCTCTGTCCATATAAAAGAATTATATTATACATGATCAGTGTTGTTGGGTTCTCCCACACTAACAAAATGTTTTCAAAGTGTGCTGCAGTGGCAGCAGGCACAGTTCCCTTTTTCCTTTTGTGATAATGTTGCACTGCATAGCCGTACCTTCTTGGTTTATCCTTTCCTGCATTTGGTGACACTCAGGCTGCTTCCACACTGAACATCATTCACAGTGCTGATATCAGGATCCACGAACAGGTATCCAGGTGCCTACGGGTTTTCACTTATCTTGGAACTAAACCTAGGAGTTGAGCAGCTGTTAGTGGCATGTTAACTGTCTTCAGTATCATGAAAGAGTGTTGCAAAGTACCTACACCATACCTGTCTAGCACTGTAGAAATGGTTAAGATTATCTAATTCCCACCAATATTTGCTATTTTTCATTTTCCTGATTGAAATCAAAATTCGTTAACACTCCGTATATAGGGTGTGAACATCATGCATAAAACAGAGTGAAATGTGCGTGTGTACTGGATACCCTGGAGTGACCAGCACCCTGCCAATCACTTATGTCAATCATATCCACAGAAACTTAATGAGAGGGACTCGAAATGGGTGCAAAGCTTTTACAATGTAAACCTGAATTACCTTTTTTCTACTTTCTGACCACTTCTTTCCCTGCTCTTGCTGTCTTTCTATCACTGCTGGGACGCTGAGCACAGCTTCCCAACTAACATAAATAAGTATAAGTACAACTGTTTCTATTTCCCATAGTGTGTACACTTGTAAGGCTCACTGTGCACAAGACTCTGGACTGTGTCTATCAGGAAACCATGATAGGCTGAATCACATTCACCTGCTGATGAACACACAGGTCACTTCCAGGATTTAGCTATCATGAATTATGCCACTGTCATCATGGGAATGCATGGATCATGGTGATATTGCATCTTTAACTATTTGGAGGAGATATCTAGAAAGGAAATAGCCAGGTGAAATCGAGTTTCTAGTTTTACTCTTTGGAGTGATGTCAGTATTGGTATGCTGTTTTCCATCCTTTGATATTCAGGCTATGAGCTCATATGTTTGTTAAAATGTGTTATTTTATACAGCATATTTTTAGACGTTCTTTCTTGCTGGATTCTTATAATGTAGGTCTTTTCATTGTGGAACTGAGGCTACTGACACTGAGAGCTGTTACTGAGAAGCACTGACTTATTCATGTTGTCGCATTATTTCTCCATTCATCATTTCTTCTTTTCCTCCTCTTCTCCTTAACTATTCATTTAATCTCATGTGTTTTTCTTGTTAGCATTTTTGATTCATTGTCCTAAGACATCCTGAGATTTGTGGAGTACTGGCTTGGTGGTCATGAATTTCTTAAGGTGTCAGGGACATATCTTATTTTCCATGGCAATTTTGATGGCCTTGCACAGTACATCAGTCTGGGCTGGAAGTTGTTTACTTTAGGGCCTTCAAATGCTTTACTCCAGGCTCTTTTGGTTTTTCACGTTTGTGTTGAAAAGTCTTCTGTCATTTCATGAATGCACCTTCATGAATAAATTTTTGCTTTTAAGCTTTGGTCATTTTATTGGACTGAGATTTTTTACTATGATGTATCATGAAGCCCTTTATTAATGGTTATTTGGGTTTCTAGATGACTCATCGTTTTGTATGTTAAATTTTTTCCCTATATTTGGAACATTTTCTTGTACTATTGATGTAGGCAGACTTTTTAGGCCATTTGTGCTGTCTTATGATTTTTCATCAATTTTGATAAATTTTACGTTACTCTTCTTTACATCATCCATCAGATGTTGGATCTATTTCTTGTGTTCTTTCATTGTTTTTAGGGTATATCTGAATAATCAATCTCTAACAGCAGCCCTGTCTTCTACTTCTGATACTTCACTCTCATATTTTCAAAAGAATTTTTAATCTTTTGAATTTCTGTCTGGTAACTTTTCACAGACTCTTGCTCTTTACTAAACTCTTTCATATTTTATATTTTTTTAACACAGTTGACTTTTTATTAGTGTCTTTTCTAATCTTGCTGATCATTTTGTTATTATATCTATTCTCTAATTAGTTATAATTTCACCAAACACTTTATTTATCTTTTTTAAATTCTCTGTTATTGTTTTGAGTAATTCTGCCATGTGGCTTTTGATTTCCTTCCCTTTGGTGCCCCATAGTGAAACTTTGGGGAAGTTGTTGGTTTTCAAAGGCACAGTGGGACATTGGTTTACAAACAATTTTGTGTGTGAATGATTTGGTCTGCAAACA